TCGCGAGTAGCTTTCGTCTCAGATCTATGACTAGTTACTTTTTGTGGACAATATATATTTATATGAAACTGCTATGACTCAAAACCTCCTGGAAATAGAACCTAAAATAATATAATTTTCAGCAAATATGAAATTTCAATTTAACTAAGTGTGTGCATGTATGTATATACACACATAACATACAAGACACGTGTGAGAAACCTAAGCCACCGAAACACACAAAACATAAACAAATACAACTTCCTAACAACACACAAGTAAAACAAGCGATACAATATAAATAAAAAAATTTAAATCCTACATTTACAGCATCGATGCAACATGATAGCCATTGAATGCCCCCTAGCGGCACAGCGACATGCCTGCGGACTTACCCGTGGTGGGCAGAGCACAGATAGCCCGTGGTGTAGCTTTGTGCTACACTAAAAACCAAATCGATTGGATATACTTAGAGGATACCTGCCATCTCGGGCTTGTCTTCAAATGATGTTATGCTACAGCAATAAAAGAACACACACAATATTATGAGTAGTGTGGTTACTGAAAAACCACAGTAAATGGAACAAACTATTAGAAGTTAGAGAAACTAAACTGGTGTATTTACGTGTTTTACACTCACTAAAAAGAAACCTATCATTCTTTGGGTATTTTAATCCGCCACAATTCAATTCTTCGTATTGTTATCTTACACTGGGCAGCTGGTACATAATTGAATAATTAGAGTTGTTTAAACATTTGTTTAACAACAAGTTAAAGTTTGGAATGGTCTATTCTTTCTTTTTAGTGAGTGTAAAACACGTAAATACACCAGATTGCTTTTCGATACCTCACTAGTATGAAGGCTTGGTTTGGTCTGATATTTCATTGGTGGTAGTGTCCAGGGTCACTGATGAGGAGTAGAATTCTCCGAAACAAGTCTGGCTCATAGACACACACCCCAATGAAAGAAAAGACCATTCCAAGCTTTAACTTGTTGTTAAACAAATATTTAAACAGCTCTACTTATTCAAATAGAGAAACTAGTTTCAACATAATCGTGCATCCTTTAAGTCTCATCTTTTCTTCTGGCAGGAAAGTTGTTTTAGGCCACTTTAAGCTAAAACACGTTCAAAACAAAGTTTTCAATACAGTTTACTGTCTAATGTTTTATCATGTCACTGCTTGCTCTTGCTTATAAATACTCACTACAAAAGTGAACTTTTACCCCATGAAAATAATAGCGTTGTAACGTCAAAAATATTAAAACTGATTCATGGAATATATATAAGGTTTTGAAACATCTATATATGTCGGAAAATACTCATTTATACTTTGAATGTTGTACGTGATCATTTCTCACTATTGAAATAAATCTATTAGATTTCGTGCTAACTGCACCAGTTTCCATAGAAACGTTGAAATACATCATTATAGGCTGTTCTGGGTACCTATAGACTAAAACCATAACTTAGTTCGCTGGAAACATATTGTGATAGACAGATATTTAATTAATCTCTTGCTTCTCGTGAGTTTTTAAAACATTTTTATTGTTGTATTTCCATCCTAGAAAAGGCTTAGCTATTGACTGAAAATGTTATAGTTAAACTCAAATTCATTTTAATTGGGCTGTTATTGGATGATCATTTGTAGATAACTACTATTGGTCGAAGGCTCCTTTTTTTTTTACATTGCATAAGCCCATAATACTTAATATTATTAACGAAGCTTTTCTTAACGTCAAAACATTGTCTTAAAAATGTTACCAGAGACTAGCGTGATAGAAATAATGCTCATTATAAGCTAGAGACAGTCTATTTATGACGTCACACTTTGTTTTACATCGTTTCAATTTCAGCTCGTGTGATAACATGTTTGCATCATATATGATGATGCCAGACTAAGCCGGGGCCCTCGTATTTCTTTTCGGAAAAAGTAATTGCATCTTATTATCATTACTTCTTCTTTTTTTGTTGAAAAATGTATTCCAAAACCTCTACTTTTAAAGGACTCGTTTTCTGTAAACAATTCAAGAAGACGTTTTTATCAGAATTCATTGACTTATATTTATAGAATTATAAAGCTTTAAAACACAAGAAAAATTCAAACTTATTAAAGAAATGTCTGATCAACGAAATCCCACTCTATCCCTTATTCAAAGCTATCACGCTTACTTGATAATCTTCCCTTGCCCTGAACTATGGATGTCATATGCGCTGCTATTGATAGATTTAATTCGTTCTCGTCTATTTACCGTCCATGTTTGATTGTAAGATTTTTTTTGTTAGAACTGTCGTCGATAGTCCTTGTAAAGAGTAAGCATGGTCAAAGCATCATTGTTATATATAAATCATAAAATATTTCTTATTCCCAAATCTGTCCCTTTTCTAACTGTACATTGTTTCTTTGTAGTGAACTACTAATAATATAAATAAAGTATAGAAAATGGCATATTTAATATATCCACTGCAACATATAAGTGATTGTTTATAGTGTACAAAATATTCGTATAAATACAAGAAACTACAAGGAAAGGATATAATAAATAACTTAGTATTCCGAAAATTGTTTAATCTCAAAGTCTAAGTTCAAGGAAGGTCCAGTTCAATCTACACTTTGATCAACGTGTGTTATTGGATTATACTAGCTTTGGAGAATTCCACTCCTCATCAGTAACCCTGAACACAAGTTCTGTAATAACAGACTTGTTATGCAACTACAGAATCGTTCTGCAATAACTACAGAGTTATGATGTGACAATTACAGAATTGTTCTGTAATAATTACAGGGTTGTTATGCAACAACTACTCATTTTTTCTGTAATAACTACTGAGTTGCTATGCAACAGCTACTCATTTTTTCTGTAATAACTACTGAGTTGCTATGCAACAGCTACTCATTTTTTCTGTAATAACTACTGAGTTGCTATGCAACAGCTACTCATTTTTTCTGTAATAACTACTGAGTTCCTATGCAACAGCTACTCATTGTTTCTGTAATAACTACTGAGTTGCTATGCAATGGCTACAGAGTTGTTAATAGTTACACTAAAGACTAATTTGTTATAATACTTACCTTGAATAGTCGTTCTCTTTGTAGAACAAAGACTCTGAAAAGCTTTATATTTTCTACTTATTCGCAAGTATAGTACAATAAAGCTTATTTTATGTCATCTCGAGAAGCACACTTGGAGACTTTTCTTTCGCTGTAAGTTCAGTAAAAAGAAAAAGCAAAAAAAAAAATAATTAATTGCTTGTATGTCAAACACCAACGTGCAGAGGACATTCAGAGAGTAGGGGCTCATTGACAAAAAGGGCACTTCTCAAGCATGGTAAAGCAATACTTTCTTTGGGGGAAGGGATGTGTTAGGGGAGATTATGAGACCTATTGATTGTTTCTGGTATACACATGTAATTAGGTGTGTCTTTTAGTAGTTGTGGACATTTTTAATGACCAAGAAAAAAGGCACTTTGGAGGCGTAAGAGCAGAAAGGCAGGGGCTTGAGCCCGCACAGTCGCCCTCCTTTGCACATCACTGATGTCAACTATTTAAGAAAGCATCCTAGAACTTGTCTATGTAAACTTTGGTAGCTAATTTATGTTTTACGAGTTTAAATATTAAATATTTTATGTTAAACTGTTTGTAAACTCTTCGGATGTAATGAAAGGAGAATCCCTTCTAATGCCCAAAACATTCCGTAGTAACATCAAATGAAAACTATAAATCTGAAAATGGCATAAATTTTCTTTTAAGGACGGAATCTAAGAGGTGCGGTTTTGTTTCACAATTCTAGTATTAAAATCTTGAGGGGAGCATTTCCCCATTACTGGTAATCGCAAGAAATTTCTCAAGCAAATAGCAAAATTATCTAATTTAGATTCATTGCCAGTTGTAACGTTGGTGATAATATGTATCTTTCTAAGACATCATGGTGAGTGTTTATCAAGTCTCAGAAGCTCTTACAGGCAACTCCTGAATCGTAGCTATACCGGTGCATAAACTCGTGGACTGTTAGATGAATATTCTCAAGCCGATACATCAAATAATGAATTGATACTGAGAGATGACTATCCAAAGTCGGAGCTGTACCGGTGCACAGAATTATGAATTGATAGACGAGTATTCAAAGTCGGAGCTGTACCGGTGCACAGAATTGTGGATTGATAGACGAGTATTCAAAGTCGGAGCTGTACCGGTGCACAAAATTATGGATTGATAGACGAGTATTCAAAGTCGGAGCTGTACCGGTGCACAAAATTATGGATTGGTAGACGAATATTCAAAGTCGGAGTTGTACCGGTACACAAAATTATGGATTAATGATTAGCATTGAAAGATGGAGCTGTATTGGTGCACAAAATTATGGATTAATAGACGAGTATTCCAAGTCGGAGCTGTACCGGTACACAAAATTATGGATTGATAGAAGATTATTTCAAGTTGGAGCTGTATCGGCACACAAAATTATGGATTAAAAGACGAGTATTCCAAGTCGGCGGTAAACCGATACATAAAATTGATGATTCCAAGACTAGTACGCCAAGTCGGAGCTGTATACCGATGTGCGTAAAATTATTAATTGAGAGATGAATTAATGGATTGATGAACAGGCAAGAACGGTTTTATACGTGTAGACTCCCGAACTTATGAAATTCTAAAATTGAAACTGGTTTATTTTCAGCAACTTCGGGAGGGTTTCTTAATACAAAACTTGATCAACGTTGCAAGGTGAATTAACACAGAACTAGAGATCAGTACCGTTAATATCGTATATTCTTGTGCTGGATCTATGAACCTAAAGTCTGGATATTTATTATGCAGTTGTAGGGGCTGAATGATAATATTCTTGTAGTAGGTGTGTATCCATACACATCATATATATATATGAGCAAAATTTAAAGAACCTTTTCAATTTTTTTATTCGTTTTAAAGCAATGTCCCGCGAACTAATATCGGTTTTAGTTTTCTAATTGTTTTAAACATCTAGTTTAAAGAAAATAATAAAACATAGGAATATGTAAATATTACATGACCCAAAGCTTTTGCTTTTTTCGAAGTTTATTCGTGTAATAAAGCTCTTGGTCCGTCATTTTTTTGCACGTTACATTGTCCTCTTTTGGTTTCAGTTTCATGACCTTGGGATTCGCATAATAAACTTTTTTAGCCTCTTCTGTATTGATTAACAAATTTTCTCCTTGTACACAGTAGTTAAACCATTCTTGTCTTCTTTTTTTGAGTTTTTTAACACTTGCTACAATTTTTCTTTTGCCAAATTCGTGGATTTTTTCGGCTAACCTCTTTTTGAAGAAGTTGTAAAGGACTTGATCAGCCGAGTTAATCTCTTGAAGACGTTGGCGTATATCTGCAGTTATGGGTTTAACAAATTTATCGCTTCGAGCATTTAGCTTAAAAATTACTACATCATCAATGCTCCAACATAAAAGATTTTTGAGAAGAATTAAAGACTTATCCATTTGCTCAGCGATCATAACCAAATCAAACTCTTTATCTAACTTTTGAGCAAACTGCTCAATAGTTATAACGTTAAAAAAACGTGAGGGACTCAACCCTAAATCAAAAGACATTTGGTTCCTACCTATTTTTCCACCATATCTTCTGTCCAGTACTTTCTTAGAGGTATTAAAACCGATAGTAAGTATTGATTCATTGTATAGATTTTCAAGCGAGTAGTATGAGTATAAAGATTCGAATAGTTCTGCTGGATCTCTCAATATGGTAACAAAAATGGTATTTTTGGGCATTAGACGTTTTAATTCCCCGTAGTTAAACCGGGTGTGGTGTGTGAAAATATTGTAATGAGTTTTACCAGCGGAAGGTTTCAATCTGGGAGCCATGGAATGGTGGAATTGTTGAGGATGACCGAAGTAATTTCCGTAATAAGGTAGAACGAATAAGAGATCATGAGTGTCTCCATAACGCATAAAGATGTTCTGTATACTTGAACTAGCAGCTTTATGAGTTTTGAGAAAAACTACGTTGGTTTTAGCTTCCAGACAATTGTCTTGGACATCTTCATCGAGAAGTGTGGCTATTTCCTCAGGAATCCTAAAAAGATGACCATATTTATTACAGATGTGAACTTTAGTTTTACAGAATAATTAAATATAAAATAATACAACAGTATGGAATATTCATAGAAAGATAAACACGAAGACAACGTTTCGAAAAGAAGAGATATGGAGTAAATACTTTCAGAGTAGATAATATGATTCATACAATTTGGTTTGTTTGTTTAAAGTTAAGGACAAAGCTACACAATGGGCTCTCTGTACTCTGCCCACCACGGGTATCGAAACCCGGTTTCTAGCGCCGTAGGTCCGCAGACATACCGCTGTGCCACTGGGAACATAGAATTTGGATAATATATATATTACTTTTTCCACATTGTACTTTATATTTTAGTTTTAGTTTGTGTTTATTTATGCTCTTTACGTGGAAGTGTTTTTGTTTAAAATGTTAAAGAAATCATCTAAGGGTATGAAGAAGGTGTTTAGCTATGTTTTCTTTCTTTTGGAGGTTCAATTTAACTGTAGTATTATCGTTATAAATGTATATCAAGATGTTTTTTTATGTGGTTTAATAACTTTATTAAAATCAATTGAAACATCATGGATGTTTTCATAATGCGCAGGAGCTGTTTCTAATCAAACGTAAAGTCTTATAACATAAACGTACTATAGATGTAAGTTTAGTATAACTTCTAGGTCATGGTAGAAGCTCACATATACTAAAGTAGGAGATACAACTGTCCCATATCACACGATCCCGTTTATTTACATGATACGTAAAGTTCATGTTGAATGGCATGTTCTTAGATGAATTTCATATTCATCATATATATATAATGTTTCCTTTGTTTATTTACTTTTTATGAGCTGCTTTTCAACACAAAACAGTTTACATTTTCAAATAATTTCGTTCTCTGAATCAAAATCCTCAACTCCTGTGACTAATAGCGCTAAAAGTCGGGTTCGATACCCGTAGTAGGGAGAGAACATATAGCTATTTGTGTAGCTTTGTACTTAACAAACAAACAAACTCTAACTTAATGGTAAAGACTAATCTTATACATGTGTATTTAAATGTTTGAAATTTTATAACTATATATGTTCTAAAATTTTTAACAAAACAGTATAAAAAATTGTAACAAAATAGCAAAACACACTCAGAGTTTAATGGTAACTCAATCTGATATGTAGGATCAGAAATTACAAGAATATTTTTAAAATCAGCAAAGTTCAAAGTGAAACTCACGATTGACCTATGCCGTTGTCTAAAATTATCACGTATATATAAGAAATATTTTTTTTAAATTTCGATTATATCGTGATCTGATAAAATTAAAGGTTACATTGTTATTGCCACTTTCTACTTATTCATAATGAACTCTTTATTATTATTTTGAACTTAGCAGTTTATATTAGATTTGTGATTGTTGAACTTAGCACCTCCAGAATAGCTTGACATTGAACTTAACACCTTCAGAATGGCTTGACATTGAACTTAGCACCTTCAGAATGGCTTGACGTTGAACTTAACACCTTCAGAATGGCTTGACATTGAACTTAGCACCTTAAGAATGGCTTGACATTGAACTTAGCACCTTCAGAATGGCTTGACATTGAACTTAGCACCTTCAAAATGGCTTGACATTGAACTTAGCACTTTCTTTATGGTTCCAAAATGAATGTTATCGCTTTGTTTCTATCAAAAAATATTTAACCTATTAGTAGCGGAAGTGTTCTTTTAAATTATTTTGGAAATTTGATTCATTACATATGATCGGGCTATTTGCCGTGCCCATCGCTCGGAATCGAATCCCGGATTTTAGCGCTGTAAGTTCTCGAACTTACCGTTGACCCATCGACGAACAATTATATTTAATAGTGTTTATGATAGTTTTGGCTTGTTCATTAGTGTTAATTTGTTATACTGTTGTTCTACAAAGGGAACAACGAAAACCCAGAAACTTTAGTGTTTGTTCCTCTCAATCTTGTTTGGTTCCTCCATGTATGTAGAATCTACGCTTATAGTGTGTGGCTTATACACGAGTCAATGTTATCCACATGTGTGATCTAAATTTTTAAGCATAATTATTACAACAGTTAACGTCAGTTTCCCACTACACGCGAAACATCACTTTTCCATTTAATGATTTTTTTAGAAACTATATCAGTTTTTGGAAGGAATGCCTTTTTTCATAAGAATATACAAAAATATTGCAATATACTAACTGCTGGTTCACTATGCCTGACAGAAGCTTAGACCTATCATAAGAATATACATCAGTATCATAGATACTTAAGATAAACAATGTTGTTTATCTTAAGTATCTTTTTTTATTGTGAAACTTCGTTTTCCTCCGAACACATAATTGCTAATATCCAGACTCCTTTATTGAAACAACCCACACGGTACTGGTCTTTTGGATACCTTAATTAATGAATCTATTTCTATTAGCTTAATCAATTTTTGTCAAAACTCGAGTAATTTTGTGCACTTCAAGTAAAAAACCCCCACAAAAACAACTTTTAAATAGTCTAGAATCTAGAATGCTTCTGAAGCTACATTAATGTTTCCCGATGATTACAACACCTGAAAGTTCGCAAGCAAGTTTATCTAATCGTTTAATTGAATTACACTCCTTTTAGCAACTAGAAATGTCATATTTAAGCTTTAACAAACCTCGTCATCTGTGACTGATTTGACTCCACCAAACTCTGAAGCAAACGAATTACATTGTTTTTTCATTTACTGGATAAAGGAAACATTAATTTGCTCGTTACATGCAAGAAACAAATGTTGACAGGGTAAGTAGAAATTTGGGCAAGTTTTGTGTCTCGATAATTGTTTATTTATTTGTTTCGAATATTCGCGTATAGCTAGCCACACAAGGATTATCTGCGCTATCGTCTCTGATACTTAAGATAAACAATAAAAAGGATAAGATACTTAAGATAAACAATAAAAAGGATAAGACCTATATTGTCCTTTTTATTGTGAAAGGGAGTCTGATTTTTGAATTTATTCCCCTAGAATACAGAAATAGGGGGACTTAGAAATATAGAAATTATAACCTTTTACAAGCTTTCTAAATATGGCAACACTTTTATTTATAGGGAAATAATAAATACGTCTAGTTGATGCAAAAGTTACATCATGTACCACTTATATTTTGGAGCCGAATGATAGAAATACATGGTATGGTAATTGAAATATTCATGCAAAATATGTTTGGAAGTCAGATGTTAAGACTACGTCAATCTCCACTTATGTTATACAATGTGAAAACAAAAACTGACCGAAAGTCACTGAAATTGTATAAATATATATATATATATAGAACTGCAAATAGTATGACCACGCCTCTCCTTTATTATATCTTTACAATTTTATATCAAATAAGCAACAAAGTTATCTATTAGCGCTAAACTACAGCTTTAATAAATGTGTTTTTCCCACAACTATTACTGAATGCGGATTCGTATAAATCAGTATATCTAGTTACTCATATACAGGAGGTTCGGAAAATTATATTAACAAATGTATTAACGTTTATTTCTGTACAATTTAAGCCTTAATTCACACATTTTCCTCACTCCGCGTATCTACCTACCTATCGTTACGTAAAATTGATCAATTTAGGGGGGTAGGAACACCCAAACATGTCAGAGGCTCGAAAACACAAATAATAGATTTTGTTCACATAATTTCCGAACACTATATAGTTTACCAATCCAGTTTTAGACTTGGTACGGTAAATTTTCTGACCACAACTTTTTGCATATCCATAAAATGAAATACAGGAATTTTTTCCATGTTGTTTTACATTCAAGCAAACTGAAGATATTCTTATTATGTATTTAGGAACACATTAAATTCTTTAAAGATCTGTATACAATTATTGCACCTGTTTCAGTAAGCAGTAGCTTTCCAAGAACCTTCTATGACGTTACACTTGAACGTATATCGTGTCGCTGTTCAGGTAGATCGACATCAAATTATTATTTCCGGTAATGATGAAGCGACTCACGGACAATAAAAACGTCAGACTGTTTGTTTGTTTCAGATTTTTTTTTTTTTGCACAAAGCTACAAAAGGCTTATATGCGTATAAACATTCCTAAATTTAATGCATAGACTAAAGGAAAGGTAGATAGCCAACAGCACCCACCGCCAACTCTTGGCCTAGTCTTACTTATCTGAACGAATAGTAGGATTTAACCATAATCCTTATGGCGCACCCACGGCTCTAAAGTGTGAAACATATTTTTTGCGGTACTCTCAAGTGAACCACGAACCCTTGGATTTCTTGTCTAGTTACATTCATCACTAGACCACGCTCGCCCCGAAAACAACAACTTATGAACAATGAAACAGTTTGTTTGTTTGTAATTAAGCACAAAGCTACACAATGGGCTATGTGAGCTCTGCCCACCACGGATATCAAAACCCGGATTCTAGCGTTGTAAGTTCATAGACATACCAACATACCACTGTGCCACTGGGTTGGGGGGGGGGGCAAAGAAACAGAATTAATTAGAAAAATACGGTCTATGAATATTTCAGATTTCAAAAGATTAGATCAATACACTCCTTAGGCTTAATAATTATGGTTAAAATCACGTTGAACTGCATAAAGTTTTAGTCACAGTCTCATTAATTAATTCGTAAGTAAATTTCGATTCCAGGGATGAGAAATGTGATTTCAGCTCTATATTTTTGTCTTCTACAAGTCAGGGCTCAGAAATCGTAACACCAAAACTCTATTTGAAATGCCATTTATATGTAATATGACAAACAAATTTCCGAGCGTTATAGAGGAAAACGCTAAATATATCAAAGCAATGAAATTCACGAAGCCTTATAAATGTTACTTAACTTTAAATGTCTTGATCACCTTCCGCTTAATTAGTTTGTGACGGATTTGAAATCAAATGTGTGTAAAAATCGCATTTCAAGTCCATCTTTCATTCTACACAAACCTCTAACCAAGTCTAACATACTTCAAAACAAAACTTGCAAATAAGTTCACAAATAAATTGA